ATAGCCTGGGGAGAAATGCCAAATTTGGGTGAAGGGAGAAAGGAAGCAAAACACACTGCCATGTGTGTACCTATGCAACTGTCTTGCATGTTCTTGACATGTACTTCAAAACCTAAAATGCAATAAAAAAAATTTAAAAAAAAAGAAGGAAAGAAAGATAGATAGATAGATAGATCTAATTGGCTTTTATTAGCAATTGTAGAACTGGGCAATGTCTCCTTCTAGACAACAGAATGGGTATTCTGATGAGCTGAGCAGAGGGAGTTGGCTTGATGGTCAGAAAAGGGCTGAAGAAAGCAGAAATAAAAAACAAAAAGTGGGGGAAAAAAGAAGTAGAATTTGCTTTATCTTTTAAATAAAAATTTCCCCAAGTTCCCTAAATCTACATGACTAGTGTATCCTCTGAAGCTCCATATTATTAACCTCTTCATTTTACATGTAGCCTATACTACTTACATGGACACCTTTCTTTCTGTGTACGTGACCTCCTAATGCATAACATTTTATTTGAGCTTCTATTATGCCTGTTCACCACTTACAAATTTGTTTTATAACATTCATGTATGTTTTAACCTGTAAATTTCTCAAGAGAATGGATTTCTGATTTGCATATACAAACATTCAACAAATGTTTACTGAACAAAAGAATGGAAGGCTTGTCTTCTCTATGAGATTATCTCCTCTATAAGATTCTACTGTCTTTAGGGCAGAAACCATATTTTATGCTTCTTTAAAGTTATAGAATTGAGTGCATAAGAGCTCAATAATACTGATTTACTTTTAAAAATAATGACAATATTAATTTTTAATTTTTGTTGGTACACAGTAGTTGTATATATTTATGGGGTACCTGAGATGTTTTAATACAAGCACACAATTCAGAATAATCACATTTCAAAAAATGGGCTATTCATTCCATCAAGCTTTTATTTCATGTGTTACATACAATCCAATTATAATCTTCTAGTTATTTTTAAAGTACATTTAAATTATTTTGACTATAGTCATTCTGTTGTGCTGTCAAAAACTAGGTCTTATTTATTCTTTCTATCTTTTTGTACCCATTAAACATCACCACCCCCACCCCACTCCCCACCTACCCTTCCCAGCCTCAGATAACTATCCTTCTACTCTCTATCTCCACATGTTCAAGACAATATTAAATTTTATAGCCATGGGAACACAGTGTCTAATTTTCTAAATTAAATTCAAAACTTTCTCTAGGGAATACAACTGTTGGGTTAAATCTGTAAATGTGCTTTTGATTTTCTTGATGTACAATGAAAGTTTATACTTGTATTTCACTGTATCATATTTGACTGTAGAAATTAAAGCACAATTTAGAATATATGTATGTATCTATATGTACATATATAGTCTTTAGATGCATATGGAAATCAAATTAATATTCGTATTGTAGACATAATTTGGTTATCACCACTTTCAATTTTCTTTTTTTCTTACTATTGTTTTAGTTTAAATTTTGGGATACATGCCCAGGACACACAGGTTTGTTACACAGGTAAATGTGTGCCCAGGTGGTTTGCTGCAACTATCAACCCATCATCTAGGTATTAAGCCCAGCATGCATTAGCTAGTTTTCCTGATGCTCTCCCTCCCTCGACACCTTGCCGCAGGTCCCAGTGTGTTCCCCTTTTCATATCCATGTGTTCTCATTGTTCAGCTCTCACTTAAAAGTGAGAACATGTGGTTTTTGGTTTTCTGTTCCTGCGTTAGTTTAATGAGGAGGCTTCCAGCTTTATCCCTGTCCCTACAAAAGGCACGATCTTATTCCTTTTTATGGCTACATAGTATTCCAAAGTATATATATAACAAATTTTCTGTATCCAGTCTATCATTGGTGGGCATTTAGGTTGATTCTGTGTCTTTATTATTGTGAATAGTGCTGCAATGAACATATGCAGGCATATATCTTTATCAATAATTATTTGTATTCATTTGGGTACATAGCCAGAAATGGGATTGCTGGGTAAAACGATATTTCTGGTTCTCAGTCTTTAAGGAATCACCACACCATCTTCCACAATGGTTAAACTAATTTGCATTCCACTAAAAGTGTAAAAGCGTTCCTATATCTCTACAGCCTCGCCAGCATCTGTTTTTCCTTGACTTTTTAATAATCATTCTTCTGTCGGGCATGAGATGGTATCTCATTGTGGTTCTGATTTGCATTTCTCTAATTATCAGTGATGTTGAGCTTTTATTTATGTTTCTTGACCACATAAATGTCTTCTTTTGAGAAGTGTCTGTTCATGTCCTTTGCCCACTTTTTAATGGAGTTGTTTGGTTTTTTTCCCTTGTAAATTTCTTTAAGTTTCTCTGGATATTAGACTTTTGTCAGATGATTAGATTGCAAATTTTTTTCTCCTATTCTGTCAGATATCTGTTCACTCTGATGGCAGTTGCTTTTTTTGTGCAGAACGAGTTTAAATTTTAGTTTTATTAAAAAAAATTCTATGGTACTGATCCTAGATCTTTCAATATACAAATAGCACCTGCTATAGATAAAAGTACACCAAATAAGCAAGGTTCTATATGACTGAACTTAGGCACAGAACAGATGGATTGGGCAAGATCATACAATGTGATTTCAGAAGACACAGGAGAAATGCCAACAGTGCCTGAAATTTTCAGTATCAGCTATTATTCTGTAAGAACCCTGAATTATTTTACTGTGTTAAAAAGTTATGTATCTTAAGCTAAACTTTTAAATGCATTTTGAAAACTAGTATATGCCATGAATCTGCCATTTTATTTAGAGAACAGAATAGTTCTGAGGAGTCTGAGAGTCTGGTGTGTTCAGGGAAGAGTATGTCAAAAAGAGAATCTGAATGAAGAATGTTAATGAAAATGCACCAAAAGAAAAGGTGAAAGGTCAAAAGATATATTTGTTTTGCTTAACGATTTTTCCAAGAGCCTGCTGCACTTATTGCATTGTTGTCTTGCCCAATAAAGTGTTGATTTCACTAGTAAAAAATGTTGGTGCCCAAAAGCATTAATAGAAATTATAACATCTAGATAGATCTTATTTCTTTAAAGACTATGATTTCTAAATATTAATTACAGTATAAATTACATTAAGTACAGCCTCACTTAGTGACAGGGACATGTTATGAGAAATGTGTTCTTAGGCAATTTTGTCATGATGCAACATTACAGAGTGTACTTAAACCTGGAGGGGATAGCCTACAACACACCTATGCTATATGATATAACCTATTGCTCCTAACCTATAAACTTGTTCAGCATGCTACTGTACTGAATATTATATGCAACTGTAACACAATGGTAAGTATTTGTGAATCCAAATTTGTCAAATCATTAAAAAGGTACAGTAAAAATATATATAAATAGTGGTACACCTGTATAGGGCACTTGCTGTGAATGGAGCTCGCAGAACTGGAAGTTGCTGAGTCAGTGAGTGGTGAGTGAATGTGAAGGCCTAGGACATTATTGTATACTATACTGCTATAAACTTCATAAGCACACACAATACACTTAGGCTACAATAAATTTATTATTTGTTTGTTTGTTTGTTTGTTTATAGATAGAGTCTTGTTCTGTCATCAGGCTGGAGTGCGGTGGTGCAATCTTGGCTCACAGCAACCTCCACGTTCTGGGTTCAAGCAATTCCCCTACCTCAGCCTCCCAAGTAGCTGGAACTACAGGTGTGTGCCAATATGCCCAGCTAGTTTTTGTCTTTTAGTGGAGATACGGTTTCACATGTTGGCCAGGATGGTCTCACTCTCCTGACCTTGTGCCCCCAAAGTGCCAAGTTTACACGCGTGAGCCACTGCACCTGGCCAACCCTTTCTTTCTTAATCTTAGCTTACAATTTTATTTTACAAACATATCAATTTTTTTAACTTTTTGATTCTTTTGTAATAAAACTTAGCTTAAAACAGAAACACATTGTACAGCTGTACCAATATATTTTCAATCTTTATATCCTTATCCTATAATCTTGTTTCTGTTTTTAAAAACTTTTGTTCTTTTTTACTTTTTACTTTTTAGCAGGTGTGAGCCACTGCGCCCAACTAACCCTATCCTTCTTAACCTTAGCTTATAATTTTACTTTATAAACATTTTAATTTTTGAATTTTTTGATTCTTTTGTAGTAACACTTAGTTTAAAACACAAACACCTTGTACAGCTGTACCAATATATTTTTAATCTTTATATCCTTATCCTACAATCTTTTTTCTGTTTAAAAGTTTTTTTTCTTTGTTACTTTTTACATTTATTTTTAATTTTTTTTTTTGCTAAGAACTAAGGCACAAACACACACATTAGCCTAGGCCAAAACAGGGTCAGATCACCAAGACATTATCAGGTAACAGGAATTTTTCAGCTCCATTACAATCTTATGGAACCACTGTGGTATATGCAGTCCTTTGATGACCAAAACATTTGTTATATGGTACATGACTGTAATAGAAAATCAATAATCTGTTGTAGGACAACCATTATACTTACTTTCATGATTTTCCCACTAATAAAAGCCAACTATTAAATTACATTAGCTAAATTGTGAATGTAAGCTTTTCTTTACTTGTAAGTGGAAGAATAAAGAAAGGATATAAAGGCACCAAAAGAGATGACTTTAATTAATTCCTGTCCAATATAAATGATATTCCTTAGCATTAAAAAAATATTTCTAAAAGAATATTTTGAAATACAGTATTAATTATAAAACTGTTTTACCTAACAAATTTAGAGAACAAACAAGTAAAATAACCTAATAGTTGTGTTCTTAACCATCAAACCTCAGGGAGTACTAATGCATCTCATACTCTACCCAAGAATGTATTTAGACTCCATTTGGAGTCTATAAAACTTTATAATCTTTGCATCAGAAAACATTTTTAATTATTCTACACCAAAAAAACTTAAAATATTCTTTCTTCAAGGTTATAAAATTACAATATTATAAAAGATGTCAAGAAGTTATTAAGTCAAATGATCCTGTCTCAGTAAAGATTTAACACCTAAACCTTCTAAAGCAGATCATTTTTCTACCCCATAAAGAGTTGTTTTTTATTTTTTTTGGTAACACTTTTAGTATGTTCTTTGAAATTTAAAAATGTCTAAGAAATTTTCTAAGTAATTCTTTTACTATAATTTAAGCCCATTTCCTTTTATTCTTATCACTGAACAAAACATATTTATGTTGTTATTTATGTGTGAACCTAGAAAGCTGAACATTACCTGCCATGTGTCTTAATGTGTAGACATTTATACTAGTCCATTCTCACACTACTATGAAGACATATCTGAGACTGGATAATTTATAAAGAAAGGAGGTTTAATTGACTCACAGTTCTGCATCGCTGGGGAGGCCTCAGAAAACCTACAATCATGGCAGAAGGCCCTCTTCCCAGGGTGGCAGGAATGTGAATGAGTACCAGCAGGGGAAATGCCAAACACTTATGAAACCATCAGTTCTCCACCCATTATCACAGACCATCATGGGGGAAACCACCCCCCATGATTCAATTACCTCCACCTGGTCCTGCCTTTGACACATGGGGAATATTACAATTCAAGCAGATCTGAGTAAGGACACAGAGCCAAATTGTATTAATATTGCTTAACAAATGTCCACAAGACAGTTTCTCTGAAAATAGTATGCAATAGAAAGAAAAACTAGTGAAATAAGGAAATGCTATATTTTTTATTGTTTTAATTGTTTTAATTGAGTTAATTATGTCAACTAAAATAAAAAACACCGGCTGAATTACTCTGATTGTTCTATTTTATAAATCCAAGACATTTTTTTAATTATACATTTTTCTAACTCCTGAAATAATACTTGTTTATTACAGAAAGCATAGAAAACACAAAAAGCACAGAGAAAAAAACCTCACCTGAAGTTTTAACACATTCAGAATGCCACTGCATATATTTTAATATTTTGTCCCTTCAATGTTTAAATACATACACAGAGTCATAGTATATTTTTTTCCACTTAGCAATTCATCATGCACATGTTCTGATACCTTTTTGAAAAGTCTTAAGGCTGGACATGATGGCTCATACCTGTAATCCCAGCCCTTTGGAAGGCCCATCACCTGAGGTTAGGAATTAAGACCAGCTTGGCCAACATGGCAAAACCCCATCTCTACTAAAAATTTAAAAATTAGCTGGGCATGGTGGTGAATGCCTGTAGTACAGCTATTCAGGAGGCTGAGGTAGGAGAATCGCTTAAACCTGGGAGGTAGAGGTTGCAGTGAGCCAAGATCATGCCACTGAACTTCAGCCTGGGCAACAGAGCACGACTCTACTTTTAAAAAAAAAAAGAAAAAAAAATTAATAACAAAAAAAAAATGGGCAACCAGCAGCCCTTGAGGGTGCTCTGACTATGGAGTAGCCATTCTCTTACACCTTTACTTTCTTAATAAACTTGCTGTTGCTTTGCAAATAAATAAGTAAAACAATTTTAAAAAGTCTTCTACATGTAATATCAATGGCAGGGCACCAATCTATCATAAAGGCATACATATTAATTAACCATCATGATTTCTAATATTTTTCTGCTGTAATCAATGCTGTAATATAACTCCCATATATAATTTTGCCTAGACTTCTCATAATTTGTTTCCTTTGAATGAATTACTGGAAGTAAAATTTATCTGACATAAGAAATTGATACTCCCCATACATATTGCCAAACTCTCCTTTACCGCCTCTATAGTTTGTTCATTTAGATAAATCAAAAATTCTCACTTGAGATCTTGTTAATTGATTAAAATATTAGTAAACTAAAAAAAGAGAGAAAGAATACCTAGACATTCAGCTTTTCAGCTGACCCCAGCCCCCAGCCAGTTCCAGATAACTGCAACCACACACGAGAACCCACAGTAACAGCCAAAAGCCATACAGATAAACCAAACCCAGATTGTGAAATGATGAGCAGATAAAATGCTTGTAAGCCATCAATTTTAGGGTGGTTTGTCATGCAGCAGTAGGTAAACAAAACAGCATCTCACTGAATTCAAATCCTGTAAAATTCCATTTATGTGTCACCATCACAATTTTAACACCTAAAAGTTGAATTTATTTGCCTTACCATTCAACTTCCACCTTGGAAGAGTTAACTTGCCTTTACCTGCAAAACTTACTATTCACATAAGCATAGAGCTTTAAAATCGTAATGTATATTCACTGACTTGATGATACACTAGAACTAAAGGATATTAGTAAATGTTAGAACAAAATAGTTCAATAGGCAAGTAAGTTTTTTAAACTCTGGATTAAATAAAATTATAAACATGTCTTTACTACTAGATTTCTCTGAGACTTTCCTATTGAGCTTGTTAAAATTTAAGAGAGGGATATAAAATAAATATATCCCAAACGTACTCAACATGGAATCCTTTTTCCAAAAAGTATTTGGTGGACCCAGTATTCTATAAAATACATTTTGGGACTGCCATATTTGAAAAATAGAAAAAGTGAGGATGAATTACATATTAAAGTCAAGAAAAAAGAGGAGAAGTCTGATTGTCCCTGAAGGTCTTCATTTTCTCAAAAGTCAAAATACATTTTTAAATGTATACTGTACTTTAATAAAAAAGTAGAGAAAATAAAAATATAAACTCAAAGCAGAGAGAAGGATAGATATGACGATACTAAGAACAAACAGCATGAAATTGTAGAGGATTATGTCACATAATTCCATGATCCCATTTTCCCTCAATTAGGTTTGCATTCCAGGAAGAAAAACACAAAAATTGAAAAGTGGAAGGAAGAGCCACAGTGATTACATCAGAAGGTTAAAATGTGAGAAAGCTTAGTATATTAGAAAAGAGAGTGTTTAAACAGGTCTAAATGTCCTGCAGATGAAACAAGGAGTTATATGTGGTCAGAAGGTGTTTAATTGAGTACAGTAACACCTTAGGGCAGGAATCATGTAAAGCTAAGGAACTTGTTCAGTGAGTATAGTAATATGAGGGCAAAGTTACTAAGTTTTTGACCTAAGAAATGGTTATCCATGTGTTGGAACATAGAAATTTAGGATTAGAAAATATATATTAATGAAAAGTATACTGAATTAAATTCAGAAGACCTAGAAGTATCTAGCCATGTTTCATTAGCTAAGTCACTTAATATTTCTGGCCTTGGATCCTCATCTCCAAAATGAATATCAACTGTATATTCCTGTCTGGTTCCAAAATTCTGTGAGTCTCTGATTCTAGCTGGATGAATGCCACATGATGATTAAGTTTTTAACAGTGCATGGCTGATGCAAAATTGTGATGATGAGGAATTATGAGTCATGAGCATAAATGTTTGCAGCCAACTGCCAGGAAATGAAGATTGAGAGTCCATTATGTTCTCTAGGTTAGTTATAAATGGATTCAGGTGGACAGTAAGTGATAATGAGAATTTGAAGTAAGTGGCATTGACTTCAAGCAAGATGAAAAAGAGAGAAGGTTGCCATTTGATATTCTTTAAATTACACTGGGTAAGCCAGTATCTCCTGTCTTCTTGCTGAACTTAGGAAAGTCAAGTTGAAGTTATGTCTCATTTATTGCTAAGTCATATTAATTTGTCCTTTAAGATGTTACTTGTATCTATCTCTTCCTCTGTAACTGCACTCTTATTACCATTGCCTGAGTTCTCATCCTCTCATCTAGGTTACTATGAAAGCCTTCTATGTGATCTCACTAACTCTAGCCTTTCCTCTAAAATTCATTCTGCAGACTGCCATTAAAAAAAATTCCTTGTTCATTTCCTAATATATACATATATATAAATAATTCATTGTATGCAATTTATATATAATTTTTATTTATAAATTATACTTTAATAAAGCTGGAATAATACATTAATAAATGCATCAAAAATATTTCTTAAAACTTGCTTTCATTGCATTACCCCCTTATCCAAACCTATAATGACTCCCTCTGGCCATCCATATCAAGCTTAAAACTCTATCAGACTCTCAAGGCCTTCCATTATCTGACCTCATCCTACCTTTTCAGACTTTACTCCCATATTCTTTGACATAAACTAGCCATTCCAGTTCAGTACTTCCAACACAGGCCATCTTTCCCCCACCCACTGACCCACTTACCTCTCCTATTCGCTGTACACACAATGTTAATTCCCACCGCCATGGTTTTGCTGTATCTTCTACCTATTAGAAATACTTTATCCTATCCTGCTCATCTACTACAATCCTTTACATATACCAGCAGATGGCTTAAATTCCAGCTCATCTAAATATTTATTTACTATTATGAATGACCACTTCCAGGCACCACTTCTAACACTGGGGATCAAAGCAATCTTGCACTTAATAAGCTCACAGTCCAGTAGAGAAAATGAATAAGTGAATCAACAACTACAACACTCTGTGACCAGAACACATAGGGTTCTGTCAGAGCACAGAGAAGAAGCATTTGACCAGACATAGATAGTGGATCAAAAATGGTTTCCCAGATGAAGTGAACCTCAATCCAGGTCTTTATGGAAAATAAATACAAAGGGAAACACCATATGCAAAAGCATGACATATTTTAGTGGATTCAGAAAAATGAAAGTAATTCAAGGGATATAAAAAAATTGCATGTACACTTGTGAGAAGTGGCAAGGTGTAATGTTAGAAATATAGGCCAGGGCTAGAGTATTATAAAGTCCTAGGTGAAATGCTGAAGAGTTTGATTTTGACCCCAAAACAATGGGAAAAAGCTGAAGAATTTAAGCAGTAGAGTGACTACAAGTGACAAGACCTAGCCTTCAGGAAGAATATTCTGATAAAATAATGAATAAAAGAGAACTCAAAATAAAAGCAGAGAAGCCGATGGAATGGCAGTTTAATATACTATACACACACAGACATGTTGACCTACAATTGAGGTAAAAAATTAAAATAAATGCAGATTCCAGAGATTTAGGAAGCAGAAATGACAGCATATAGTGACTAATTCAACATGAGAAATTGAGGTAAAGAATCTTAAAAGGTAACCTGAGGAACACTAATTTCAATTCCTTCTTCCTATACTATTTACAGTTTATTACTTAGGACCCAGAACTTACATTTAATAATGTAATTTTGAATTTTTAATTTAATGTACACTGTTTTCACCTCCCTAAACCGACTGTACTATCATTGAGGGCAAGGACTAGGCTTCCATTTTTACTTTTTGCATCCTTCCCATCACTAAGTATGCTGCTAAGTACTTAACAAGTGTTAGTAAATATTTACTAAATACAAACATTTTGTGCTCCTTAAGAAAATATGATTTGCTACCTTATACTATGGGCCAGCACTAAATGCATTTGCATACATTAAAAACAATAAGCTTTAAATAATTATTTGTTGAATAAAACAACCTAGAGTGCATGAGTCTTAAAATCTCCCTGTGCACAAAATATCCATGTCACTGAACACCAGAATGACTAAAACTTAAGACGGACAATTCCAAAGTCTAACAAGTACATGGAACAACTGGAATTCTCATAGATTACTGGTGAGAAAGTAAATTGATAAATACACTTTGGAAAACTGTTGGACAATAGGTACTAAGCTAAAATGCATTCACATTCTAACAATTTCATTCCTAGTTATATACCCAAAATAAAGGCTTCTCATGTCTATTAAAAAGAAATGTTCAAGAATGTTCATATTGGTTTCATTCATAACAGCCAAAAATGGAAATAATCCAATGTCCATTGATAGTAAAATAGGCAAATACATAAATTGTGGTAAGTTCATATAATAAAATACTATGTAGAACAAAGAGTAAACCACTCCATGAAAGAACACGGATGAATCTCACAGACATGATGATATGCAAAGGATGTCAGACACTAGAGTTCATACATATTACTTCAATGTATACGAAACTCAAGAAGAGGTAAAACTAATCTATGGTTATAGACATTGGAATAATGGTTATCTATTGGTGAAGAAGGTCATTGACTAGAAAAAGCATGGAAGAGTCTTTTAGAGTGTTAAAAAAGTTGTATGCCTTGATCAGAGTGATGGTTACATAGGCATATGTATATGTGAACATTTACATGTTGTACACATAAGATTAATGCACCTTGTTGTACATATAAGTCAATAAAAGTTTTTAAAATATCTGTGTCCTCTCTCACGTTGACACTAATAAAAACAACTTTTTCTCTTCTTACTTAAAACCATTACTGAGGGGAACTGATGAGCATTCAGCTTCACATGTACAGTACTTATGCTCTATAAATAGTAAAAATTACATTTTTAAGGAGGCAAAGCATTTTTTTATCTCTTAGAAGATATTCATGAGTCTTCTGAGTTAAAATGCAATGCTCTATTCTTGTTTTGTACCTTGTCACCTCCCAACTTCCCAGACTTATTATCTAAGCCAATCACCCAGACTAGGACAGATTTGGGTCCTCAGAGGAATTCATTTGGGCCTAAAGGAAGTCAGGTTATAAGGAAAGATATATCTGTCTAAAATTAACATTTTAAATGCACAGCGATAAAAGATAAAAGCAAGAAAATGGGGAGGGTGAAAATAATGGGCAAAAAAAAGCCTCCTATTTAAGCTTTCAGAAGTTGACAGACCCCATGAGCACAGCAGATAAAGAAAGGAAGGGCCATGTGATTTCAGGATATACCTCTTGTCCTCCCTGTGGTCTATTATCTCATCTTGAAGTATCATTGTACTGACAGGGTAAGAATCATAGACAGAAATGTCCCATGTGCCATTGTGAAACTGTCCAGGTTCATTGTTGACCATGTCATTCACTAGCTGTGCCAAGTCTTGCTGCCACTTAACTCCCTATGTACCAGTTTTATCATATACAAAATAAATATAGTAATAGCACCTATCACATGACTTATTTTGAAGATTAAATAAGATAACTGATGTTAAGCCCTAAGATAAAGACTTATACATAATAAGTGCTTGATAAATGCTACCCCCTACTACTTGACCAAAAACTTATAGAAATTCTCAGAAAACTTTCTGAGTGTCTTCCCAATCCATAATGAACTGAATATTTCAAGAAAACATTCTGTAGCAGTATGTTCTCTTGAAAAATATTCTGTAGCTCAAGAACAAGATATCTTGTAAAGTGTATTTTTCTGGTGTTCTGCAAAGCACCAGCCTCATCAAATAGTAATAGATATTTGTCTTAGTCAATTTGTGTTGCTATAAAAGGATACCTGAGGCTTGGTGAGTCATAAAATTTTACATATATATATGTAATTTTACATATACATATATAAAGAAAAGAGGTTTATTTGGCTCATGGTTCTGCAGGCTGTACAAGAAGCACCATCTGCTTCTGATGAGGCATTCAGGCTGCTTTCACTCATGGTGGAAGGCAAGGGGGAGCCACATGTGCTCACATAGTGAGGGAGGGACTGAGAGAGAGGGGAAGACATGTCAGGCTCTTTTCAGCAAACAAGAAAATTAAGAGAAAGAACTCACTCACTTCCAAGAGAATGGTATCAAGCTATTCATGAAGGATCCACCCAAATTACCCAAACACCACCCATCAGGCACCACTTCCAACACCGGGGATCAAATTTTAGCATGAGACATGGCAGGGCCAAACAAACCATATTGAAACCATTGTAATATTATATATATTTTAAATTGTGTAATCAAATAAACAAAACTGTTACCATAGAGCTTCTCAGAGCCCCTAATAGGCTAAGAGGTGATATATTTATACCATGTACCCAGAATCACCATATATAGCACACCCTGGAGGGTATCATTTACATAGAACTGCAAACATGAGTGTAGAGCATGACAGCCCTGCATTTTCTTTTCTTTTTTTTTTAGACGATCACAGGGGACTTTATTGATGGTACACGACAATATGGGGCTCCCTAGGCCCCTTCCTCTTCAAGGGGTCTGCATAGAAAGTGTGAGGAGGGGCAATTCAGTGTGGTGGGGGACTCAGTGTGGCAGGGACTCCCCAGCAGCGAGGGCCTCTCTTCCTCTCATGCTCTCACTGGGGCAGGAGGTCCAGGGGTCTTACTCCTTGAAGGCCATGTGGGACATGAGGTCCACCACCCTGTGGCTGTAACCAAATTCATTGTCATACCAGGAAATGAGCTTGACAAAGTGGTCATTGAGGGCAATGACAGCCCCAGCATCAAAGGTAAAAGAATGGGTGTCACTGCTGAAGTCAGATGACACCACCTGGTGCTCAGTGTAGCCCAGGATGCCTTGGAGGGGGCCCTCTGATGCCTACTTCACCACCTTCTTGATGTCATCATATTTGGCAAGTTTTTCCAGACAGCAGGTCAGGTCTGCCACGAACATGTTGGCAGTGGGGACACAGAAGGCTATGCCAGTGAGCTTCCCTTTCTGCTCAGAGATGACCTTGCCCATGGCCTTGGCAGCACCAGCAGAGGCAGGGATGATGTTCTGAAGAGCCCCATGGCCATCACTCCACAGAGTGGAGTTTCCCAGAGGGGCCATCCATGGTTTTCTGGGTGGCAGTGATGGCGTGGACAGTGGTCATAAGTCCTTCCACAATACCGAAGTTGTTATGGATGACCTTGGACAGGGGTGCTAAGCAGTTGGTGGTGCAGGAGGCATTGCTGATGATCTTAAGGCTGTTGTCATACTTCTCATGGTTCACACCCATCACGAACATGGGAGCATCAGCAGAGGGGGCAGATATGATGACACTTTTGGATCCCCCCCTGCAAGTGAGCCCCAGCCTTCTCCATGGTGTTGAAGATGTCAGTGGACTCCACCATGTACTCAGCGCTAGCAATGCCCCACTTGATTCTGGAGGGATCTCGCTCCTGGAAGATGGTGATGGGATTTCCATTGATGACAAGCTTCCCGTTCTCAGCCTTGACAGTGCCATGGAATTTGCCATGGGTGGAATCATACTGGAACATGTAGACCATGTAGTTGAGGTCAATGAAGGGATCATTGATCGTGACAATATCCACTTTACCAGAATTAAAAGCAGCCCTGGTGACCAGGCACCTAACACTACCAAATCCGTTGACTCCAACCTTCAGCTTCCCCATGGTGTATCAGGGATGTGGCTGGCGGTGTGAGACAAGATGTGGCTATCTGTCGAACAGGAGGAGCAGAGAGCCAGCTCTGCATTTTCCAATCATATCTGAAGATTATTCTGTGAAGCAACTCGTTACAAGTAATTCTTAGAAATTTTGAATCAAGGTAAATTTCTGATATCAATTCGTTTCAACATATATATATATATAAAATTAAACCCTACAAAGTAAAGGGACAGCCCATTCCATTTTGTAATAAATAAACTCAATTTATGTCAATGGAGTACTTAATACTTATATGCCTTAGCCTCTAGAATAAAGAACTTCTTTTAATTTATAATATAGTTTTAAAAATCTGTCTCAGCTACAAAGTGAGTTTCCTAGATAGAAAAGATAACCAAGTATTACCATACCACCTAAATTTGCCATAATATATGAAACAGAAAGTAAAAAAAAAAATAGAAATGAGAAGTTTGACATACAAACAACAACAAAAGTGTAGTCAAAAAAAGTCAATAAATGACCAAATTATTTTAAATGGCATTTCAAAATCCGCATCCACATTCCATGACACAGCCCACAGTCTTTTCAGAAAGGACATAAACCAGTCATTCTCATTCTCCCTGATCCCATGTTATATTATAAGGGCTACCAAGAATCTCAAAGTTACACTGTTTTGCAGATCTGTCTGATGCCAAAAGTAGTTCTTAACTTTTGGTGGATTATGGGCTCCTTTGATCATCTGATGACAGCTCTCTGCCCACATAAGTATACAAGGCATACCCACAAAGTGTTTACCTACAATTTCAAGTGATTCATGGAACACTTGAAATCCACCCATGGTCTTTGGTCCTGAGGTTCTAGTGTAGCAATTTAGCATAAATGGTGTTTTCCTAGTCCAGCTGACTAAAAAGCAGAATTCTGATTCTGAATAAAAACCCAAAAGGAAAAAATGCATGATTTCACTGAGGGCTTCAAATACTTGTGGGAGAAGAATTTAAAATAGGCATGGAGGAACAAAGTCATCTTGATATATGATGTTTCTATTGAAATGACTTTAAAAATAAACAGCATATGCCATGCATGTTTTTCATGCTTTTTCAGTAAAAGTGAAAAAAATAACTATTTATACATGAACTATTAACTATTTTATATTTAAATAAAGTATAGAAATTATTTAACAGAAAATATGAGAAAAAGGTCCATGGAATTACAAAAGTATAGAATTCTTGAAGGTTTCAAAAAGAGCTTTAAAAAGATCTAGTAGTGCTCTTATTTTACAGCATGAGGAAAAAGTAAACCTGAAGAGATCAAGAGCTTTGCATAAAGTCACATGGTTAACAGGGTTAGCATATGTCGTTTCTTTACTTTTACATCTTATTTTTTAAATCCTATGACTGTCTTCCAAAATAAATAACAATCAAGCTGATTTTTTTTATTCCTGAAAAATTATTATTTGAAAAATGCTACCGAGGCAAGATATGGATCCTGGGAAATCTGGGGTGCTATTTCTGTGCTATCTGAGCTAGGCAGATGCCATGTGAGAATGCTTCGGGTATACTCCCCCTCCATCAGAAAGTTAATCACCATAATGAAAGTCATCTGTGGCATCTTTGGAGAGTAAAATACTAAAAAAAAAAAAAATGGGAGGAAACTCATGAGGTTTCCAGAAGGTCTCAGGGGCACAATTAAGTCAGTGAGCAGGTAGGAGTTGCCTGCCCCCTTATCACATAATGCAAGCTCTGGATTTACAGACCACTGTCACACAAAATTAATTACAGCCACAGTGACCTAACCTGATTGCAACTTCACAATTCTAATATTAAAATGGATTTTATTTTTTAAGATCCTTGAAGTGGGACAGGCCTACTGTGTTAAAAAGTTTTTATTAAAGTCCCATTAGGCTGCTGTAACTTGGAAGGAGAAACAAGTACTAGATGTTTGCCCATTTTGAGAAATGTCATGCTTTAAGGTGTTTGGTTTGGCTTTATTTTTAATGCCTGAATGGACTTAACAAAATTATTTCCCTTAGTTCTTTGCATCTGTCTTTCTGACTAGAATGTAAACTCTTTAATAGCAGGAGTCATTTCTGTCTTATTCGCTGCTATATCCTCAGGACATAAGATAGTAGCTTGTATCCAGCAGGTACTCAACGAAAGTATTTGTATAATTGCAAAAGGTAAAGATGAAGATGATTTGCTTCCCAAATCAGGGTGTATATAAACAGACCATGCCTATGTTTCTCCTCTTGACCCCATTGCCATGGATTTCCAATCATACTATGAAATCAAAATATTTTGTGATATAATTTCAGGTGACCAACAATCTATCTCTCCTTTAATTAGAACAGTGTTTTCAAAAAGAAATCAAACTTTTCTTCAGGTACCTAAAGATGATTATGCTAAACTATTGCACAGTGCTTAGCAGCAACAGTGGCAGTAGCAGCAGCAGAAATAATTATAAGAGCTACTATCTATTAAATATCAGCTATAGTACATTAGTCATTTAGTACCTATCAGGTGCCATATTAAATGCACTATCAATGCTACTTCACAATGCTGTGAGTTAGGAACTTTTATCCCATTTACAGATAAAGAACTGAAGTTCAGAGAGGTTAAGATATTTTTCTCAAGTCATACATCTAGAAGTGTTTCAAATTCAGACCTGCATATAGCCACATTCCATACCATTTTACTGCACCATGCTGCCTTAAATGAATACGTATCCAATTAATGATTCTTACAATCATGGTTTTTAATCATTTTAGCTGATATTAAATGTGATTGTTACATTAAAACTTATCTATTTTTAAATATAGATTTTTAAAAATATATTTGCTAGTGAACTTCATTTTGTTTTGTTTTGTTTTGTTTTGAAACAGTCTTGCTGTGTAGCCCATGCTGGAGTACAGTGGCACAATCTTGGCTCACTGCAACCTCTGCCTTCCAGGTTCAAGCGATTCTTCTGCCTAAGCCTTTAGAGTAGCTGGGACTAGAGGCGTGTACCACCAGGCCCAGCGAATTTTTGTATTTTTAGTAGAGACGGGGATTCACTATGTTAGCCAGACTGGTCTTGAACTCCTGAGCTCACGCCCCCCTCGGCCTCCCAAAGTCCTGAAATTACAGGTGGGAGCGACCATGCCCAGCCATTGTTCATGAACTTCTAATCCTCATTTTTAAAAATGTATTAATACTTAAATACATTATACCCAAGACTCTTGTGTTTCAAGGAAAGCTTTCTAATTTTTATGTGGCATTTGAATGAAATAGAGAAGCAAAGGTGCATTGTTGATTTAATCTGTTTGTCAAAGTAGATCATATTCATGACTGCTAGGTAAATCTTACCAGATTGTACTTTTAATAGAATTTTGAAAAAGTGTTTATTCTTTCCCTTCCCATTCACACCTCTAGACAATTATTTTAAGATAATGCTAATTTCTCTTTTTAAAAATACTACCTATATTGATAACCATGATAACATTTTTACTCAGGTATTTCTATCAAATATTTCACAGTACACCTTGACCTGATTAAACTGGCCCTCCAACAAATGGGGGAGGCACATCCACCATTACCAAGGCACTCCACCCCTACAGAGGTACTCTGCCACTGCTGACACAGCCTGCCATTGCTGAGGCAACCCACCATAACAGAAAGAGTCCACCATTACAGAGGCAAGCCACCATCACCATGGCAGTTCTAAACACACCCATATAAACAGAACTACAGGGAATTATAAACGGCATCAGGGTGGAGCCCAGGGCAGCAGGGCGGAGCCCAGAGCAGCTCAGCATAGCATCTGCAAGCAGGCAGTGACTACACTGCCTCCTTGCTGGGCAGGACAGTGCAACAGATACTCATATATAAAGTGCTAACTCCCTGGGACAAAGCACCAGAGGAAAAAAGGGGCTTTATGAGTTCTGCTGCAGCAGACTTACACATACCTGCCTAGCAGCCCTGAATGAACAACAGAGATCACAGCTCAGCACTTGAGCTCCTATAAAGTACAGACTGTATCCTCAAGCAGCTCCCTGAACCACATATATACAAAGAGTCACCTCACAAAGGACTGATCAGTCTGATATATGGTGAGCATCATTCTGGGACAAAGATAGCAGAAGAAGAAACTGGAAGCAACCCTCACTGTTTCACAGCTTCTACAGGTGTTCCCCAGGCAAGCAGGGCCTGAAGTGGACCTGAGCAGTCCTACAGCAGAGGGGCTAGACAGTTAGAAGAAAAACTAAGAAACTGAAATACTTCATCATCAACAATCTGGACGTCCACTCAGAGACCCAATAGAAAAGTCAGCAACTATTCAGATGACAGTGAATAAATCCACAAAGATAAAAAGAAACCAGAGCAATAAAAGGAAAACACCTGAAACTGGAACAATTCACCTCCTACAAAAAACCACAACCCCTCACCAGCAAGGGAACAAAGCTGGACAGAGAATGAGTGTAATGAAATGACAGAATCAGACTGCATGAGGTGGGTAATGAGAAATTTCTGTGAGCTATAAGAACACGTTCTAATTCAGTGCAAAGAACCTAAGAACCTTGAAAAAAGATTTAAGAAAATGATAACAATAATGGACAACTTAGAGACAAATATGAGTAAACTGATGGAGCTGAAAAACACAACACGAGAACTTTGTGAAGCATGCACAAGTCATAACAGCAGAATTGACCAAGCAGGAGAAAGAATATCAGAAGTCAAAGATCAACTCAATGAAATAAAATGAGAAAGCAAGATTAGAGAAAAAAGCGCAAAAGGAATGAACAAAGTCTCCAAGAAATGTGGGACTATGTGAAGAGACCTAACCTATGTTTGATAGGTGTACCTGAATGTGACAAAGAGAATGAATCCAAGCTGAAAATACTCTTCAGGATATGACCCAGAAAAATTTCCCCAACCTAGCAAGGCAGGCCAATATTCAAGTCCAGGAAATACAGAGAACACCATAAAGATATTCCACAAGAAGAGCAACGTCAAGGCACATAATCATCACATTCACCAGGGTTGAAATGAAGGAGAAAATACTAAGGGCAGCCAAGGGAAAGGTCAGGTCACCAACAAAGGGAAGCCCATCAGACTCACAGCAGATCTCTCGGCAAAACCCTAAAAGCCAGAAGAGAGGGGGGGCCAATATTCAACATCCTTAAAGAAAAGAACTTTAAACCCAGAATTTCATATCCAACCAAACTGAG